TCTCTCTCTGACTTTCTCACTCTCTCTCTCTCTCTCTTTCTAGTAACTTCCGTCTCCCCGTGGTGTGTGCGACGCGTTACGTCGTTCGGATAGACGAGGGGCGAGCGTACGCGAGAGACTCGAAGGCGACGACGACGAGAATGAACGATGCTGGCGTACAACATGGAAGAATGAAGAATCGAGTCGCGCGGCTCGCTCGAGAAGAAAGAAAGAAAATGAGGGTTCACGGTGTGTTCCAGTGTACAGTGTCTTTATTTCGATCAGAAAGTGTCCGGGCTCGTCGAGGATCTTGCACCCGACTCGCCTCTCGTGTTCGCGCGTGAAGAAATTCCCGTATCCCGACTCGCCAAGCGAGTTTTCCGCGCCTACCCGTCGCCGCTGGAGGTCAGCGACGCGCGAAATTCATTTTCCCGTCGTCGGATCGCGCGCGTCGTTGCCGTTCCCCGCGATGCACAACAGGTCCTCGATTCGGAGTGTCGGCAGCGCGAGAACTCAATGTAATTCGAATTCCTAGATTACACCTTAGAACAGATATAATACAATTTTGCAGACTCGCTTCGAAGAATTTCATCCCGAGCCTCCGTTCGTTTGGACCGTTGATCCTCCGATTAAATCGGATAATCGAGGTTCCTCTGTATTAACTTCAGTTTTCGTTCGGACGTCGATTACGAACGTCGTGGCTCCATCGTTCATTAGAAACTCGCGCGTTAGTCCCACGTGGCCAAGTGGGACCATTCTTCTCGCGAGAAGCCACATTAGAATTAAGATCTGTTTGACAATTGAAAGATTGTTTGGCCACTCGGGTGAAAGTTCGCGTCGAGGCAACGCGCGATCCTACGGCGCGGTTAAAGAAGAAGAACGATCGAATACTGCATCGGCACGCGGTCGGATAAACGCGAAATCCAGAAGCCTGCCGGCGCCAGGGCACTTAATATCTCTCTTTCGTATAAAAAAACCTAAGCTACCTAAATCTACGGTAATTCGAAGCCCTTAGGATGAGCGACGAGCCTTCGTTTCCACTCTGAGCATCGAATCATCCCCCGCCCCTCCCGCCCTCTCTATGCTACATCAAACCCATCTCGTCGTTCCTCTGCCATCCTATATCTGCGCGAAGGAAATATAATAATAGTATTAATAGAATAATAATCGTAACGAAGGGGACGTGTCGTCGCGGCACCTGACTCTTTCAACCCCGAGGCCGATCCTCGCTCGTCCGATCGATTTGCTTCCGTTCCTTTGACTACGGCGACGGAAATCGCGAGCCGCAGCCACCGCCGGAAGAACTTCCGGTTCCGTCTGTCAAGTAGACACTGCCTCTGTCTCGAAGAACGGGTCGTACTCGGTACACTTTTGCGATTACGGACCGCAATGTAATACGCAAAATTTCCCGAGCAGTTAGCCGCTCGTCCGATCGCCATTTTACGTAGAAAATTCGCCGGATACGCCGCCCGTGGTAGTTCTTCCGGTTGCGGCTGCGACTAGCGACCGCCGCCACCTTTGAGATCATTCGACAGCAGCTGAGTTTGGATCTTTCGTGTCAGAATATTCGAGCATACCTCGAGAGGACGAATATTCTATGGAAACTCGCTACGAAGTTGAACAGGGTGACTTAAGGAACATTGCACACACGGACTAAAGCAATTCTAGCTGGCGCGATTAGCAACGAACGAGAATAATCGTTCTATTTCGGCGGAGATCGCGTTCTCGAAGTGACCAACTCGGAAAATGTGGAATTCGGGCACGCGACGTTTCTAACTCGAACGGGCATCGTGTTTTTACGCGAGGCATGCGTCCATTGCTGGAAGATAGTATCTTTTTCGCTTATAAATTATTAATCGCGTCGCGTAGGAACAGGATGGAGTCCAAAAAGAGGTCGGCCACGCGCGTTTTCTATAGTCTGCGTAACGAGACGAGGGCGTACACGAAACCGTGCGACAGCTAACTCCAGCGCGACCGAGATAACGTTACGTGTCGGCCAATCGCAGCGCTTGGCCCGCGAATGTATTGTTTATTCGTTTATCTGTCCACCGCCTCGTCTCGTCGGACAGACCACCGTTCGATTCTGTTGCGAACGCTGACTCCCGCGAAAAGAAATTACTCCCGACGTTGGATTCATCCTTTAAGCAAGAATTGCTCCCGTTTCGTGTAAGATCGCAGATGACGGACGTATACGTAACTCTTGTTTAAAGTCGAAGGTCCAAGATCGTTTTCGTGTACTTCGTACATAGGCTGCGATCAAATCTTTGAATCGTTTAAGGCAGCTCGCCCCTCGCTATACATTATATCGAGCGTATTCCCAGGGTTCGCGATATGCCGGCTTGCCTCTACACTTTAAAGGGCGAGGGCATACCTCCGCGAACGTCACAGAGAGGGTGCGAAGCATTGTGAAGAGTACGATTCCGAGTTGACCTTAAACGACCGTTAGATTTCGATCGGACTGTAGCGTGTCCCGGACCCGGACACGCTTCAAACGCGATCTGTACGTGCCCCGAACAATTTGGGATACCTCCGTCATCTGCGCGACGCGTTCCGAGACACCCTGTAGCTAGATTTGATAAAGCAGCCATCGTCTGCAACGGAGTCCCGAGTGCAACGGCCTTCCATTGAAAGAGAAAGGTGCGCGACGCGCGCAATTAAGATTCTGACGCGTCGTATAAAAGAGAATTGCCGATCGATTCGAACGCACGAAACATACGAATAATAAAAATCGCGAACGGCTTTTGCACAGTACGGTCGCAAGGTATCATTGTCCGTCGTATCCTTGTCGCGTCGACGCACGTTTCTAAACGTTTTCATTTTTTCTCTCTCGTTCTACCCTCGATGATCGGCGCCGTGCTCGATTTAAAGAAAAAGAACAAAACGACCGCTAACGAAAAGAAAACTTTTTCCCATTACTTCTCCTTCTTTTCTGTTTCCTTTTTTTTGTTGATTTCTGCTTTTCCCTAAGAAAAAAGCGAGATATGATAAAAAGCGTTTGGAAAACAATAGACACGATAATATATCTTCCTCGTAGGCAATCCGAAATCACAGACAAATACGTTTGCTTCTCGAGAAGTAATCTCTCCGCGCGCGAAATCGTGCACGCGATCTACACAAACACGCATACAAGGTCCTGGCACAGCACTTTGAAATCTAACGTATAAAAAAGCTCCTCCTCCCCCCACACCGCGCGCACCTCCGTGCCGTTTGAATTTTCGTTGTGACGAGTCTTCATCGTGAAGAAAGAAAGGAAAAAAGAAGAAAGGATCTCACGGGCGGGCACGTTTAAATCGACCAATCGAACGGAACTAGAGCCGGAGAAGAAAGAAAAAGAAGATAAAAGAAAGACGTACACACCGAGCGCCGTCGCCCCCGTCGCTGCTGTTTCTATTTTTTTTTCCCCGCGGATCGACGCTCGACGCCACACGTTAAACGTTATTGGAGAATCATTGTAAAAAGGTCGCTACGAAAGAAGAACGTTTCGCACGCATCCGAGGGGGCTCGTCATCGCCTCGCGATGCCACTAATTATACTCTAATATCACTGTTTGAAGATCTTACTTCGTCGATCACAATCGCGACGTAAACGGTGCCCGCGCGATTCAGCCGCGCGTACAAAACGGAGGTGTCTGGAAAATATTCACAAAAAGAAACCCATCGAAGAAGTCAGAAGTACAGTGGTCTACGAAAGTGTTTTTTCTTTTCTCTCCTTCCCTCTGTTTCCCCAGCTTGTCTTTTTTCAATTTTTTTTTCTTTCCTTTTCTCTATCTCTCTTTCTCTCTCTCTGTCTCTCTGTCTCTCGTTTTCCGAATGAACGGGGACTTCTCCGTTCGTCGCCCTTCTCGCTCGTCAGCGTTCAATCGCAGCGAGATACAACTACCCTGATTACCAATCCCGAAGTCGCGAGTAGTTTGAGCGGTGTCAGACTTATGATTCGTTTCCCTTTCTCATTCCACTTCTTCTTCTCCTTCTTCTTCTTTTTCTTCTTCTTCTTCGTCTTCTCCTTCGTTTACTTCTTCCTTCAAACTGTCTGTAAGACTAGATACATGCCTCTGTTATTCTGACGTATTCGATCGAACGTTAAGTGCACTCGGAAATTTAGCGCAACATTTACCGGCATTCTAACGATTCTCCTTCTATCGAAGAACGAACCGACAATAACGCCAACTTCT